GGGTGGGTTGGGGGGGTTTGGGGGGGGTTTTTTTTTTGGTTCCCTTTTTGGGGCCCCTGCCTTATTTTTTTTTTTTTTTTTTTTTTTCCTGTGGGTCAGTGACCTCTGACCCAAAACAGGTTCCCCCACCCATCCCATAAATAAAGATAGTGCTGAAACATTGTGTGTTTGACATAATATTTTATTTAAAAATGAAGCCTGGTCAACAAGTCCCCAATTGGGGCCAAGCCCCCATCTGGCAACAGCATCATAACATTCCTGCATCCCCCCTTTCCCCCAGACCCTACATCTCAGCCTATCATACATTGGAACCCTGAGCCCCTCACGTACCCCAACCCAAATGCTTGAACCTTCACATCCAGAAGTCTGTGGCTTGCTTAGTATCGTAGGGTACGTCTACACTACAGCGCTAATTCGAACTAACTTAGTTCGAATTAGTTAATTCGAACTAAGCTAATGCGAACTAACGCATCTAGAACTAAAAACTAGTTTGAATTAGCGTTTTGCTAATTCGAACTAGCATGTCCACATTTCCCAGTCTTCTATCATAACCGTCCTGTACCATCCACACACTGCAAATCTGTCCTGAGCCCATCATACTCCCAGCCTCCCTGCCCTGAGCCCCCCATTCATCCCAACCCAAACTCCTGCACCCCAATCCCTATCCCACTCACTGGCAGCCCTGTCCCACACACAGAACCCTGGAATCCCAGAAGAGTACATCTGGCTTGAGGCCTTGAACCTCAGTCCTCCCTGCCCCTCCCGGCTCCATGTGGCTGGAGCACCAGGGGAGTGAGGTGTTTCAGTTGGGGGCCACGTCAGTGAGGGTTGTAGGGTTTTGGAGGATGGTTTTGTTTTGTTTGGTTTGGTCCACATTTCCTGTCTCAACCCAGTGAGAGTGAGTAAGGGCTGGAGACAACAAATGATGGTAAGGAGGGGAACAGAGGGCGGGGCCTCAAGGAAGAGGTGGGGGTCTTGGGGAAGAGATGGGGTAGATCTTGGCTTGCCCTGACATTTAAAAAGTGATCTTGGGTGTAAAAAGGTTGGAGACCACTAACTTATTGTTAAGTTTATTCAAAATACTAAAATACAGTGGAGTTCTTCAATTTGTGTATCATTAAGAAGGCATTTACTGTTTTTCAGGCCAAAGCAGTTGCTGCAGAATCAAATGCAACCTTTTTTAACATAAGTGCTGCAAGCCTAACTTCAAAATACGTAAGTAATATTGCTAATTGTTAGTCAAGATGCTAATATGTTAACAACTAGCTGAAGGATTTGTAGGGCTAATACAGTAAAACTCTGATGGTCCGGGACCATCAGGAACCCGGAAGTGCTCCGGGCAGCCAGACCATTGGAGCTGCTCTGCCCCCGCTTCCCCGATTCAGCCGCTGCTAAAACTGACCAGCGGCTGGATCGGGGAAGCCGGGGGGCGGGGCGGTGGGGGGTC